AAACCCTAACACTAGCCCTAGAGAAGCATACATTGTCCCCCAGAGAAGGGGAAAGGGACAAGATCTCCTGAGCTAATTGGAGCATGGGGGAGGGTAGAAATAGTTAGGAGAAAGAGAAGAGGAGCAGAGGAGGGGTGTGGAGGTCATAAGGGAACAGGAAGACTGTGTCAGGGAAAGAGTAGAGGAGAGCAAGAAAAGAGATACCATAATAAAGGGAGCCATTCTAGGATTTAAAAATAATCTGGCACTAGGGAAATATCCAGAGGTCTACAAGGATGACACAAACTAACAATATAACTAATATTGGAAGAGGCTACCTTAAATGCCCTTCTCTGATAATGAGATTGATGACTACCTTATATGCCATCCTAGACCCTTCATTAAGTAGCTGATGGAAGCAGAGGCAAACATCCATAGCTAAATACTGAGCTGAACTCCTGGAATCAGCTGCAGAGAGGAAAGAGTGATGAGAAAAAGGGTTAAGGCCAGGCTGGTGAAACCCACAGAAACAGCTGATCTGAACTAGAGGGAGCTCATGGATCCCAGACTGAAAGCTGAGTAACCAGCATGGGACTTACATAGACACCCTGAATGTGGGGGTCAGTTAGTTGGCCTGGGCAATCTATGGAGCCTCTGGTAGTGGATCAGTTTAAATTCCTAGTATACAAATCAAATTTGGGAGCCTATTCCACACAGAAGAATACTATTTCAGTCTAGACATGAGGAGGAGGGCCTAGGACCTGCTCCGAATGATATGACAGACTGTGAAGATTCCCTTTTGATGACCTTACCCTTCATGGGGAGCAGAAAGAGAATAGGATAGCGGACCATTGTGGGTCAGAGGAGGAAAGGTGGGAGAGGGAATTGGGATTGACAGGTAAAATGCATGTTTCTAATTTAAACTAAAAATATAATCCTAAAAACACAGATCAGATATAAAATAAAAAGAGCTTTATGGGCTTATGGAGAAACTTGGTGCTCCAGTAACTCCCAAGAATCCACAAGAAATACCAGCTAAGTCTCCTAGAAATAGGAGAAATGATGCCTGAACTGGTCTACACCTGTAATCAGATGGATGAATACTCCAACTATCATCATACAGCCCTCATCCAATAATTGATGGAACTAGATAGAGAGATCTGCAACCAAGAGCCAGGCCAAGCTCCAGGAATCCAATTGAAGGAAGTAAGGAGGAAGCATATGAGCAAAGTATATCAAGATCCTGATGGAGAAATATACAGAGAGAACTGACCAAAGTTCCTGGAAACTCATGAACTCTAGACACACACCTGTGGAGACTGCAGGGGACCTACCTAGGCCCTTTATTTATGGGAAACAGTTGAGAAGCTTGGATTATCAAAAGGGACTCCTGGCAGTAGGACCATAATACAAACCTGGCACATGAACTAGCTTGTTGATCCCATTCTCTATGGTGGGATGTCGTGTTCAGTCTTAATGCATGGGGAAGGAGACTGGCTCTGTCCCATCCTATTGGGCTGTACTATGCTGATTCCCCATGGGTGACTTTACCCATGTGAGAAGTAGATGGGGGTGGGCTAGTGTGAAGGTGAGGGGGTGTGGGAGGAAGCAAGGGTGGTGAGTGTTGGGGTGGAAGAGAGAACTGTGTTTGTCATGTGAGATAAAATAAAAAATTAAAACATGGAAAAATGTGTAAGCTAATTTAAAAAATAATGTTATGTCAGAAGCAGACTAAGTCAAAATCTTTGTGCTGCAGCTTAATTACTAAAGTCTCTCTCATCTCAATGTTCATTTTCTTGCAATTTCCACATTTCTTTCCACACCATAATAAAAATTAAAGTTGCCTCAATTTCTATATATTGACATATGATCAGTAAGTTTAAAATAATTGTGGCAGATCACAGGAAGGAAGATTAACTCTTTGTGCTTATATGAGCTTTCAAGTATCAGACACTAGGACAACAAATGCAAATAAAATATGTCAAATTGTATGGCCCAATTTGAGTTACCTAGGAGACATTTTGCTGGAAAAGCTTTGCACCAGCACAGCCATCAATATACAAAGTGTCCTGTTCTGGCATTGCTACAATATGAAACCAAAACTGAGAGTTTTAAAGATGAGAAATATATTCTCGCAAAATTCTAGAACAGACAAATTCAAACTGAAGTTTTCTCTGTACTTGCTTATACTCTGTACCTCAGAATAAAAGTGACCAGCTTTTTTTTCTGAGAGTCAGATCATGAAAACTATAAGTGCTGGCTTCCATAATTTCGGTCATGGTGATAATTTTTTTCCAACTTTATAAGGTCTAAAAATGAAGACCTTATCCATGCTTACCAACTCATAAGTTAACCTATTTTCAATTAGAGTCGCAGGTATCAGAGCTTACTGGCTTAATAGAAACATCTAGAAGACATAAGCCCCTCCGACAGTAATAAGTGGAACTGTTGTATTCAGAGATTTCTCTTTTACACACATTGCATGTATATTGGACATGTGTGCCAGTGCTGAGGTAAGAAGCTGCTTGATATACTCAAATTTGCAACATAGGATAGGTTAACTAGAAGAATAGAATATATGTGAAACTATGGCTGAGATTTAGTTATTTGTTCAGACTTCACATTTACTATCATGGCACTTCCTATTCTTCATATGAACTTCATTTAAAGAATTCTGAATGAACATTTTTTGGAGGGAAAAAAAGTTTTATTTGGCTTAGAGTTTCCTGACACAATCCTTCACTAAGTGAAGTTAAGGTGGGAATTCAAGTGGGAACTAGAAGTAGAAGTGAGGTAGAGACCATGGAAGGACACTGATCTCTGGTGAGTTTGTTAGGCATCTCAAATACCTTTCTTCTATACCCCATACCCACCTGATTAGAGAAGGATCACCCACAGTGGAATAGACATTCCACATCAGTCACCAGTCAAGATAATTTTAAACAGATACACTCACAGGATGATCTAATGGAGGTAATGGATCTAGTGGAGGGAATTCTCTCCACTTATGTATGCCTAGATTTGTGTTAAGTTCAAAAAAGTAACCAATAACTAATTATTTGTTAATAATGTACATGGAAGGGGTCAAAATTATGTACATTGTTTATCTCTACCCTTTTCAAGCAGCATTGGCTCCCACACTATTTCTATGTCTCCTTTGAATTGAGTATTCTGAGTTTAGAACTATGGAACTAGTTCAGTGAGACCAAAGTTTTAAAAATCTAGTTGCTCAAATATTGTTTACAATTCCAAAAGCAGTGATTAACATATTTTCAACACACAGAGACAAATGCAGACTAAAACAATACCGTAAAATATATTAATACTACTTAGGCTTAAAATGGGCGAGAACGTGGTCAAAAGTCTGAAAGGAGTTGGGCATGCGTAACAAATATGATCAAAATATATTGTATATGATATTCAAAACCTGGATAAAAATCATTATTTTAAAGACACATTTTGGTTTTGTATTTGCCCTACTCTTTTTATAGATAACTCTTTGTAGTTTATAATGCGGGAAAAACTTCAAAGCATCTTTTAAAAGTGAATGAGGCAAATCAAAATATGGCAAGTGACTAAATCCAAATTCCAGACAATCGTCTCCTTTTACATCAGTGAGAGAACATTGGTGAGGCAAAATTATCCCTTGCTGTCTGTTTCTTAATTGTATGACAGCCCCCCTTATACTCCTTACATAAGTCCAGCTTAAATTCAGGGATCTCTGTGAGCTTGTGATATTCATCAATCCTCTTGGCACAGGTGTACAGTTACTACAACTTGTGAACACATTTTCCCCCTAAATTCAGGCTTTGATAAATGCATGCATATGATATATATATATGAAGAAATGGTTAATTTGTGTGATTAAAATGTCACTATAACTGTACCACGGGATAGTAAGAATAGTCACATAAAATCAAAATCCTATTTATATGTGAATGAACATTTTTATGTGGTGGGTGCAGTATATAAACTCTTATTTATTTTGACTGAGGAAAATGGAGAGGGAGTCTGTAATACATACATTAGAAGAAAACGATAAATACTTCCTACAATATCATTGTTTGGATATAGGTGGGATCTTGATTTTATATTTAATACATGAATTAAGATTGAAAAGTACATACAATAACCAAATAAGTCGAGTTCAAAAAGCAAACAGAATCCCTCATCATCTACTGAGCCATTGATTTGAAATTCAAGAATTATCCTGTCAGTCTCCAAGAAAAGAGAAGAAAAATATTTGGACTATAGAGAAACAGGTAAGAAGTATTGGTATGCACACATGCAAGATTTGTACACAAAGTGTTTTCAGAATCCTCCAGGCCATTGACAAGTTAGAATGGCATAGGCAATAATCACATTTAAAGAGCATGTTTTCCCACTGATTTTCACGGGGTCAGTCTGGTTGAACTATTTCAGGATGTTTTCGCTCTCATGTCCCTTGGCATCCTCTCTTGCAAGTTCGTTGCATCATGCTGATTCAAGGTTTCCAGTAACTGTTGTGGTAGATAGGTTTGGGCAGATCAATTCAAGAGAAGTTGTCCCTGGGGTCTTGTCTTCTGTCCTCTTAGATGAAATTATGGGTCTTGTGGTTCAAGAAGATCCCAATTGTCTTTTGAAGCTTGTTTTTTTATCTTTAATGCAGGGTCTCAGATGGTACTTCTCTGGGAGGAAAGTTTTCCAAAATTCTCCATGGAGTACAGATTAGGATTGCCAAAAGTGTGTGTGATCAATGTGATGATTTCAGTCACAAATATTACAACCCTTATGTTCACAAGCAAATGAGCTCTCTCTATATATATATCTGCTAAACACATGGAGATATATGTCCTCAATACTACAACAATACTGTGGTAGATAATTCTTTTTATGATGTTCTCTTGGATTTTTCTTATTTGGGTCCTGCAGAATCATGTTGCTTTTTACTCCTTTGATTCTTTGCAATGTAATTCAAATGAACCAAAACTTTTACATTTTGATGGCAATGTGATGATTGCTATATTTGTTCCACTTTTTAGGTATAGTCGTGTGCGGACAATTGATTTGGCAGGTGAAATAAGTACTTCCATCCAGTAAGTGCTTTTAAATTTTATTCCTTTTCACTAGTCACATTTCATTTTTCTCAAGTAAGTTTTGATTGACATGAATTTAATTAATTCCCATCATGGCATTCCTTCTCTTGTAATTACAAACCTCTTTTTCAGGTGTGTCTTCTCATTCCCTTTGTTTTTCACTCAAATAAAAAGATTTTGTTTAGCTCATGTTTACTTACACATTTGGTATTCTGAATTTCTCTGTGTTCCTCTGGATGAAGTGATAAGTCCTCAGGACAGGTAATGTAGAGTAGGAGAAATGATCAGTGAGGAAAACTTGACACATGCAACTATCTTTTGGAAACTCAGTCTGAAACAGGCTCAGCTGATATGGTAACAGATCCATTTACAGGAATGTGCCTATGTGACTACATTTGGAAAATGGGTTTTATATTATGGGGTGAGCTCTTACTTGATTTTCCTCACATTTTGATGGATTAAAATATGCATGGTCTTTCTGATAATCATTTCAAAAAGGACATGGACTATTTGGGCAGCAATATATTCCATTCTAATATTTTATCTTAATCTCTAAACTTGACATTCTTGAGATCATAATTTAAAACATGGTAAGTAAGTATAATTTATTTAAACCTACACATTGTTATATATATAATTTATGTATGTATATTGTTAGATACATGTATAATTGTTATAAACATATTAATATGTATTACAATGTATACATATGTCTATGAAAAAGGTAACACGTCAGATTAAATTTGGTTTGCACATATTATTAGAATGTCTCATTTCCAGGTCTGGTTTATTTTCAAGTCATTTTGTGAGTGGATGTTAATATCTCCTGCAAGAGATTATAAACACAAGCACACAATCTGGCTATACATATCTGGGCACCAGTTTTTCACATTTACTTGAAGGTACAATTGATATGACAAACCCAAGTGCCATTTTATCCATACAATTACAAGAATACCTCTTGTGTTCAGGACTTGATAACAAGGATGATTCCTTCTACCTCCTTGGTTCCTCTTTGTTACTTAGTCAATGTCTGTGGATTACAGTATGGTTAGACTTAATGGCTAATATCCACCTAAAAGTTAGTTCACAGTGTGTATTATTTCTGGTTCCAGGTGCCCTCACACAGCATGAACTTTACTAGTTCTATCCACTTGCCAGTACAGATGCTTCTGTTTTTTACAGCCAAGTAACAATACGTTGTGTGAAAGTACATTATTTTCTCTTTCCATTCTTCAGTTGAAGGCCATCTATGTTGCTACTATGAATAAAGCTTATATTAATTTAGATTTATACTTGTCCTTGTATGGTGGAGTGTCCTTTGGTATATTTCAAGGTATAGTTGGATCTTGAGGTAGATCTATTCCTAAGTTTCTGAGAAAGAATCATAATGATTTCCAAAACTGTTGTGCAAGATTAAATTCTCACAGCAGTGAAGGAGTGTTCCCCTGCTCCATATCCTCACCTGCCTGAGCTTTGACTCAAGTTTCTGGTCTTAGCCATTCTGACAGTTTAGAATGGAATACCAATATTGTTTGATTTGTGTTTCCCTGATGGTTAAGAATGCTGATAATTTCTACAAGAGATATCCAGCCTTTTAGATACTTCTGTTGAGAGTTTCTGTTAAGGTCTCTACCCCATTTTTATGTGGATTGCTTGGGGCTGTTTGATATACAGTTTCCTAGGACTTTATGCAATTTGGATATAAGTCCTCTGTAGGAACTGGAGGTAGTGAAGAGTCTTTCTCACTCTGTAGACTACTGTTTTTTTCATGGTGTCGTTTGCCTTACAGCAGTGTTTCAGTTTCATGGATAATTTACTTCTTAAGAATTTTGACTTCAGCATATATTCAATTATATTCTATCTTAAAAATAAGCCCAATTATGTTAAAGGACATAGCATATACTATGTGGTTATTCTAAAAATTCTTACAATGTTATGTTCATTTAAAAATATTTCTTTTTGTGAAAATAAAAATTTGAAGATTCATCAAAAATTTTCAATCTTTTCTTGATTATTCATTTTTCTCATGTATACCAATGGTCTAATTATAGACATAAGCACATCAGTTCTTCTACATATTTATCTTCATTAATTAAAGGTATTCCATGTGATTTGAATGTCCCTGAAATAGCAGTGATTTAGCAACTTTAATTTTTCCAGTATTTCATATTCCCCTGGTAACTGCATTTCTGCCATATTATATTTCATTTGGTTTTTAAAAGAAATGATGTGAAACAGTAAACAATCACAAACACATCCAGAGTGGATATTTCTGTTCTTCATCTCTTTTAACTGATGTACCTATGCATCCTGAAATATTGCCACTCCACTCAAAAACCTGGAAACAGTCCATATCTAATTTTTGATTTACATTTGCATTTGACTGCTGATCAGTGTTCAGGCTTTTTGTGTTTTCCTTTGTACAGGATTTGTGTATGTCATTGACACAGTTGTTTAAAGGCTTTATTTATTTCATTTACAATTTCTTCAGTTAATTAAATACTTTTGACATTATTCCAGCATCTAAAGAACAAATGGAAATTGTTTTCTCCCCTTTATGATGCTTTGATGATAGTTTCCTTTTCTTTATAGACTATTTCTCATTTTTGTAGTTGAATCTTCATTTTTTTTGTAGTTCCATCTTTTGATATCTGATGCTAATTCGTTTGACATTGGTGTTCTCTTCAATAAATTCTTGCTTACACCCATATCTTAACAAATACTAGATATATGTTCTTCTATCACTCTCAATGGACTGTGACCCATTTTGAATTGATTCATGGATAAGGTGGAGAACAATGGTCTAATTTCACTTACTGCATGTGGGTACCCTGATTATCATTGCATTCGTTGAATAAGCCATCTCTCCTCAACTTCTTTTTTGCCTCTTTGGTAAAAAACAAAAAATCATGCCAACTTGTGAGCTGCCGTGTGGGTGCTGGGAATGGAAACCAGGTCCTCTGGAAGAGCAGCCAGACAGAGAGTCTGGGAAACAGGAAAGAACCTTCATGGTACCCCAGGGAAGAGGAATGAGGCAAGATCTTCTGAACAGATGGGGAACACGAGGAGGGGTCAGGAGGAGTGGGAGCTGGGAAGAAGAGAGGGGGAGAAGAGGATAGAGAGTAGGTCATGGGGGACAGGAAGTTTGAATGGGGGGTCGAATAGGGGGAGGAGTGAATCATAGGTTAGAAGACAGATCAGGCACCAGTGTGACTTCTAGTGATCTAAAGGGATGACACCAACTGGCAAGCTAAGCAATAATGGAGAGACCACCTCGAATGCCCATTTCTGATAATGAACTTGATGTCTATCACCATCCTGGAACCTTCATCCAGTGACAAATGTAAGCAGAGGCAAACACCCACAGTTAAACACTGAACTGAACCCAAGGAACCTAGTGACACAGAGAGAGGAGCGATGAGCAAATCGGCAAAGAATGGGCTGGCAAAACCAGCAGAGAAGCTGATCTGAACAGGAGAGAGCTCTTGGACCCCAGACCGACAGCTGGGAGGCCAGCATGGGACTGATCCAGACCCCCTGACTGTGAGAGTCAGTGAGGAGGTCTGGGCAACCTATGGGACCCTGGGCAGTGGATCAGTGTTTATCCCTGGCATACAAGCAGACATCCTGTGTCCATAACACAAAGAGGGATGCTCTCTCAGCCTGGACTCTTAGGGGAGTGCCTCGACCCTGCCCTGAGTGAAATGACAGACTCTAGATATCCCCTATGTGGAAGGAAATGGATATAGGGTAGAAGGTTTGGGGAGGGGATCATAGAGGGGTGCAGGAGGAGAGGAGGGAGAGGGAACTGGGATTGACATGTAAAACAAGCTATTTAAAATTAAAATAAAAAACAGTAGGCTGTTCCTTTTCTGTTTTTTAAAGAAAACAACAATGTATATTTAGCAGCATACCTCATTATAATGGTTATCATCACGATACTAACCATAAGTATTTGAATGCCTATTGTTGGCAAGGTGAAATACTTATTTTCTGCATGGTGGGCAGGAAAAAGTATAGAAATGTTGTGGACAACATTTTTCAGGCTTAAAAACCTTTTAAAACAGAAATAAAATGCCTTATAAACCATTTATCGCATTTCTAGCCTAATTTCCAGAAAACTCTACATCCTGTTTTGGACATATTTCTACCACTGTAAGGTTCATATCATATTTTTGTTCCTTGTTGTAGCTGTATTGTCTTTTAAAACTTTTTTTTCAGATTTACTTTTCTCAGTATTATTTATATTTATTTAAATGTATTTACATAACTAGGCACATAAATCTCCCCAAATTAGCCATTTCTTCATGATGAGAAAATTCTATTTAATTTTCTAGCTCTTCAAATGTGTGTGTGAGTGAGTCATGCTTTTCTTTTCTTTTTTCTACTAGAGTTCTTCCCTCTCAGGGAAGGGCTTTTATTTATAGTTATGCTAATTATTTTGTACAGTCCAGTATTGAAAAGCCTTTGCATGTTACAGTAATATTCTTTTTTCTTTATAAAAAATCGGGTTTTTTCAAGAAACTATCAGGCCAAGTATGTCTGCCACACAAACCTACAGCCTCAACAATGAGGAAACTGATAGACCAACAGTTTTTCAGTCCACAAGGTTGGGTACCTCAACTGTCCTAGCCTGAAATAAATCCTGGAGAACCGCTGCTCCTCTTGGGAGTCCAGAAAATCTGGTTTTAGTATCAGCAAAGGAATTAGTAGCTGCAACAGGAATGGTTGAGTGAGGAGATACCAAATATCTTCCTTCTCCTGTGTTCTTTTTAAATCTGGGCTGCTACTAGGGAGATTCCAACCACAAGGTGGCTTGGTCTTCCCAGATCAATTAAGATAATCAAAGTCCTCCATGAACACTCCCATAGGCCAACCTGATGGAGGCAATTCCTCAACTGAGACTCCTCACTCGGGTGATTCTGTTTTGTGGCATGTTGACATTTAAAACCAACCATCATGATAGCTCATTTCTTCCCACTATGTAATATTACATTGTATGGATGTAGCACATTTGTTTACTCTATTGAAGGACAGTGGGTAGTAAAAACTTGGAGTGTCCCCAGTTTTTTTGGTTATTCATAAAGCTTATGTAAACTTCATGTACAAGATTTTGTATAGAGGCATATCCATTCATTGTTGAAAAATTAAAAAATGCAATTGCTTAAAAAAATCGGGTTTTTTCACTCTTTTTTATTTTAATTTTAAATAGCTTGTTTTACATGTCAATCCCAGTTCCCTCTCCCTCCCCTCCTCCCGCAGCCCCCACTCCCTCCATTCTCCCACCCTATTGCCAATTCCTTCCACATAGGGGATATCTAGAGTGTATCATTTCACTCTGGATAGGGGCCAGGCACTCCCCTAAGAGTCCAGGCAGAGAGAGCAACCCTCTTTGTGTTATGGACACACGATGTCTGTTAGTATTCGAGGGATAAACACTGATCCACTGCTCAGGACCCCATAGGTAGCCCAGGCCTCTGCACTGACTCTCACATTCAGGGGGTCTGGATCGGTCCCATGCTGGCCTCCCAGCTGTCGTTCTGGGGTCCAAGAGCTCTCCCCTGTTCAGATCAGCTGTCTCTGCTGGTTTTGCCAGCCCATTATTTGCCAATTTGCTCATCACTCCTCTCTCTCTGTCGCTGGGTTCCTTGGGTTCTGTTCAGTATTTAACTGTGGGTGTTTGCCTCTGCTTCCATCAGTCACGGATGAAGGCTCCTGATAGTGAACTTGATGTCTATGCTTTGCTTTTAAATTTTGTGAAAATAGTCTTTTAATCATTAAAATATTTATTTCTGTATATGCATTTATTCACATGAATATATATCACATTTAAAATCACAACTATATCTTTAGTGTATATAAAGTGATGTCAATTTTCCAATATGAGCAACATATCCTGCTTTAGAAGCAAAAGTATCTCAAAGATAATTGATAACTTTAAGAGAGAGGAAATACATTGCAGAACCACAGCTGGGATAAGCAGCAAGGTAATATTATGAACAAAATTTTATATGTAAATCCTCATGTTAATTGTTACAAGAACTACTCAGGAACATAGTCATTTTATTTATTTTAGCTATGTGACCATGTTGATTAATATTAGTTTTTAATTTTAGTATTACTATGAATAAAATTAACTAGGCCCAACTAAACTTTTTATGTTATATGAACTTCTACTTATAATCAATTTAGTTTTAAGTACATGATGTGAACATCACAACATAATAAATATGGACAGTCTATACAGAATTAGTGCAAAAGGAAATTCTAACAGTTCAAGTTTTTATGATTTTGTGATTTATGAATTTATGATTCATGATTTTGCGATTAGATTATATTGAGTGAAAATAACTCAATATTAAAGTTCACTCATGCAAAATAGTTTTCATTTTTCCTAGTAGTACGAGGAACTCTTCAATGGTACCTTGATAGGAAAAAGAAAATTATGAAATCCAACTTGTAGTAAAAAACATTTGGGGTAAGGACATAAAGTACTAAGACAATTGCTGTTTCAATTATCAGCAATAATAACCCACTTAATGAATAGAGATGCTCTCTTCTCTTCATTGTGTAATTAGTTTTCATAGAAAGTGAACCAGAGGACAAAATACATGATTTTTAAACTGTATTATTCTCTATGGTCCAGTCTGTTTATCATTACTGAGAATTTGACTCTGCTCTTTAAGTGCTTTCAGAAACTCTTTGGTTAAATTCTACAAAAAATGTTACATCTGACATAAAGCAGGTTGTAAGGTTATTAGTATGTTTACAAAGGTAAAATCACATAAAAATAATCTCTTATTGACAAAGTGTAAAAAATTATTTTTTCACTATGTAAAGTATAGATAAATTGTTCCACACTGTTAATAGTATGTTCCAATAACACATTACTTGTGATCTATAAAATGATGCTCCTTGAGCAGGGCATTGGTGGCACATGTCTTTGATCCCAGCACTCAGAAGGCAGATGCAGGCAGATCTCTGTGAGCTCGAGGCCAACCTGATTTACAAAGCGAGTTCCAGAACAGCCTCCAAAACAATACAGAGAAACCCTGTCTCAAAAAACCAAAAAAATAGATGCTCTTTTCAAAATTTTGTAAAACTACTCCATAAAATTGCCTAAATTTACTTCTTAAAAGCCTATAAAGATTATCTTTAAGGATTTTATATGGCTTGTATGAAAAGGACTATAAAATAGGAGTTGGATATAATTTCTTAATTATTATTACTCAATATTTAAAAGGTAAAGAAGTGCCAATATGTAGGATAGGAGGTTTATAAAATACTAGAAGAAAATATTGAGAGAAACTGTTATTAACAAAGAAATGCCAAAGCTAAAATTCCTAATTAATGACACTGAGATTTCAGGCCTGTTAGATACTAAAGTTGATGTACCTATCTATATTGTCTCAGAAATCTTACAATCCCAAATTACTTCTAAATGTAGTCTTCATTTGTATAATAGGCATTGGCTTTCAACCCTTGCACTGTTTGTATTGTTTCTTGCAATTTTTGCAAACCTTGGGGTAATGCTAACCAAACAAGTGAAAGACCTATATCTCAAGAACTTTGAGTCTTGGTACATTGATGGGGCATGGGACTTTGATGAGGCTACGATTATGACTCAGCACCTATGCTGGAGTGGAATATCTTTCTGATATCACTACTTCTGAGCCTCTCACACTCCTCTAAGAATCCTCTCATTCCTGCTCCGTAAGTGACCTTAATAAAATCATTGGCTCATGAAGCTGAACTTATATGAAACTGTTTCTTTGGTCAGTTGGTGCCAGTCTGAAGAGAATTGATATTACTTTAAGTCTCTCCAAGGAAAGTCTTGTAACAAATATTAACTGCACAAAGACATACACAATAAAGCCAAAGGAGAGTCTAAATGATCATACATATAGCCCTTTACATGCATAAAGAGACATGCAACTGAAGTTGAGGTGTCTGTCCAGTGTTTAGTCTGGGAGTGCGATCTGCATCTCCAGGGGAATCACTGAAGTATTGTGAAATACATTGCCATCCCCAAAGGCAGCCTGTATGGGGCATTGTTTTAAGATGGCTATGGTTGTTTGTACTGGTAGAGTATTTAATAAAGCAACAGATTGTAGCTAGATGATAGGGAAATTGGGATAACAGAGGCATTAGTTAGAATCTAGATCACTGTGCTGGATAAGACTACATTCACAATAGAATTAAGAAAGAAGTTAATCAGTGACCTCATGACTTACACAGTTCTAGTCAAATTTACAAAGTCACATGATTCTACAAGATTTTTACCAGGCAAGAGAGCTCTGTACAATCGGAGTGATTTATTTATAGCATTATGTAAATAATATATGTAATAACCTAAGGCAATTCAGAGGGGATGAGAAAAATGAAGGCCATGAAAGTTTGAATGACATGTTCCCTAAAAGTCTCGGGCATTTGCAACTCCATAATTGTCAGCTATGTTTGGGTAATCTTACAAGGTGTGGCCTTGATGGAAGACATGTTGTTAAGAGTAGGATTTGAGGGTCAAAAGTCTTGTGCCATTTCCAGTGGCTCTGGCTCTCTCTGCCTCCTGTTTGTGGTTCAGAATGTAAATTGTCACTTGCTATTCTAGCTGTCTGCTACCTGCTATCTATGTCCCACATCATTGATTTTATCCTTCAGGAACCACAAGCTAGATAAAACATTTTATTCTATAAATAAGAGCCGCTATACCATATGAGTCCCTTTCGCAATATTGATAATACTTCTCTGCAGTTACAGGCTGGGGAGTTACCAGTATTTTTTGGCCTTCATATTTGCCATGGAGGAAATCAACAGAAACACTCATATATTACCGAACACATCTCTAGGATTTGAACTCTACAATGTCAACAGTAATCAATGGGATACTCTGGAGGCACCTATTATGTGTCTCACAGGAATGGGAATAATGGTTCCCAATTACACATGTAGAAGGCAGAAGAAGGCTGCTGCTTTGCTTACAGGAGCATCATGGGCAACATCTGCATATATTGCGAGACTGCTGAATCTCTACAAATATCCACAGGTGAGGAATAAGCCTGTGAGGGAACAAGAAACCTATATAAAACTGCAGATATTTCAGGTATATTAAAATGTACACATGTGAGAGTATGTCATTATCAATAACAGAGAATAAATAAGACATTTGTTTATAAAGCCTCAGCTACTTTGCTGGAGACAGATAATATGAAGAGTTTGTGCCTATATTGGGTCTTTAAAAGTGTTGTGTTGCCAGGCATTGGTGGCACATGCCTTTAATCCCAGTACTCGGGAGGCAGAGGCAGGCAGATCTCTGTGAGTTCAAGGCCAGCCTGGTCTACAGAGCGAGTTCCAGGACAGCCTCCAAAACAGTACAGAGAAGCCCTGTCTTGAAAAACCAAAAAAAGAGAATGTCTTGTGAGGTATTATCTATAAATATCTTTGAACCAAGATAGGAGTATAAACATGATGAGCAGAAGTTAGTCTCTACAAATTGAATGTGCTGCCTTAAGTTTAGGATTGTATTGTATTTAAATGTCTTTCCTCCTGTTTTCTATTTGAAATTTACTTCAGGTTTCTTTTGGGCCATTTGACACTATCCTGAGTGACAGAGGCCAGTACATTTCTCTCTACCAGACAGCACCCAAAGACACATCTCTGTCACGTGGCATTGTGCTTTTGCTGCTCCATTTCAGCTGGACATGGGTGGGACTGGTTCTCCTAGATGACCACAACGGGGTTGAGATTCTCTCAGACTTGGGAGGAGAGATGAACAGAAACCAAGTATGTATAGCTTTTGTAGAAATGATTCCAGACAGCATACATTCCTTTTACTTAAGTTCTATTATGACCATGCAGAAGATCATGAAATCAACTGCAAATGTGGTTATCATTTATGGTGACACAGAATCTTTAAGTGGTATTTTCAGACATATGGTGGACTTTTTGATGATTTGGAAAGTGTGGGTCATGAAGTCACAACGGGATCCAAGTATTTCTGGTTCTTATTTTTTGATTGATTCACTACATGGGTGTCTTTGTTTTGCACATCACCATGCTGAGATTCCTGAAATTAGGAAGTTTATCCAGAAAAACAACCCTGCTAAATACCCTGCAGACCATTATTTTGATTATTTTTGGGATAGACACTTCAATTGTTATTTTTCTGGAACTGATTGCAAAATATTGGGTAACTGCAAACCCAATATTTCATTGGAAATATTGTCTAGAGATATTTTGGACATGGACATGACTGAAGAGAGTTACAATGTATATAATTCTGTATATGCTGTGGCTCACAGTCTCCATGAGATGACTATCAACCAAATACAAAATTATCCCTATGGAAAGGGAGAGGCAAATACTTACCCTTGGGAGGTAATATTTTATTTTATATATTTTATAAATTGTACAGTGATATTATAGAATTTTATGACAGAACTCAGTACATGAATGTACACTACAATAATTTTGCCAAAATGAACATGGGAGAGTATATAATTTGTCATATAGAATATGCTGCAGACATATATGTCATTGATCCTAATGAATGGATGGCAATAAAAGGTTAAATGTGTACATGTGATTTTATACTTTGTGCTAACCACACAATCTTCTCATTATAAAATTAATTTGGAAACCCATTATCTTTAAGTATATTTCATAGCAGAAAAAGGGGTTGTAGATATTAAGTGCTCAAATTTATTAAATCTTTAATGTTTAAATTCTGAAATTATACCTGTTACCTAAGTGAGTATCAGACCATTTACATACAGTTTACACCTTAAATACTCCTATACACAAGTTAAAATATGGAGAAGTGGCTAGCATTTCAAGAAGTTTGACATTTGACTGAATCAACAATCATTAATTAGGACTTTTTCGACATATGGTGTGTGTGTGTGTGTGTGTGTGTGTGTGTGTGTGTGTATGTGTGTGTGTATAATTTCTTCTGAAACTGATTGTCAGTCTAGAAATATTATGGTATGTTTTTTTTTGGTCCTCTTACATTAAAATATTCATGTGTTGATACAGTTTGCAATTAGTGTCAAGGGTTTGGTACAATGAGACCCATTCCTTTATTACTTGTGTTTAAATATTCTGAGAATGAATTCATCATCAGATTCTGCATCTCTTTAGCTTCACCATTTTCTCAAGAATATACATTTCAAAAATAGTGCTGGAAACATTGTAGATTTGGATTCACAAAGGAAATTAGATGCAGAATATGATATTCTCAACTTCTGGAATTTTCCACAAGATCTCAAACAAAAGATGAAAGTTGGCACATTTTCTCCAAAAGCCCCACATGACCAACAACTGTTCTTGTCTGACCATATGATACAGTGGGCCACAGGATTTAGAGAGGTGTGTTGTCTCTTATCTCATTGCTTTCATCTCTATCAATAAGCACTCATTTTGGTGTGTAATAGTTGTAATGGTTATTTGCTGCCTACTCAGTGCCAATCTGTAATATATAAAACTACTGCCACTTGAGGAATTTTTTCTTCCCTATTCTGAGTAATAGAATTTTTCCATCCTTTTCTTATGGGAACATTTTCCAGGTATAAAAGCAGTGGCTATTAATATATTAAGATTATTAAGATATCACCCATATATATTCAAACCAACTGAGAAGCTAATAATTTGACTCCCAGATTAGGAAATATTAGTGTATGGTCAATTGGATTTTGGGTACCTGGCAGTAGTATTGAGGGCACATGAATGTATGTATATTACACCCCTCCCTGCTGAAAAGAGACAAATTTGTAAAAAAAATAAAAACACAGGCAGAAATAACTCTCTTACATAGAATTTTATGGCCACATAATTATTCTAGCAACCAGGTAGGCAACATGATGTATGAGTCATGATGTATTTTTCAGTCAGGTAGTAGGTACTGATGAACTCTGCTCTACATAACCCCTTTGATTTTTTTCACCCCATAACAAATGAAAAGAAGAGGTTCTTTCTTATAGAATATGTCTTCTCACTTCATATACCATATTGTACAACATTTTTAACAGACAGTCACAAAGTACAGTTTATTTGTCAATACAGGATCTTTCAAACTGAAAAATGTACACTAAACATCACCACTGGGAAGCAAAGTGGTTCACTGTAAAGAAGTACACAGTAGGATTAGTATGGCATTACGCTGCTCTTTTAGACATGTACTCAGTGACCTAACTGTTTCTTATTTTGCCCTACCCGTAACATTTCCACAATTATTAATATTTCTATTGTCTCTTGATCCATTATTAAATGCATTGAACTTTATATCATATACTACATTGAAATAGAAGCTATGTATCAAAGCAAGGATCTACAATTGATAAATATAACAACATGTCACCTTACTGTTCTATATTGCAAAATTGCATTTTACTTGTTTTACAACTGTCCATTCCTGATTATTTTCACCATGTATTTGATTTTCAGCCTCCTAGCTCTGTGTGCAGTGAGAGCTGTCTTCCTGGACTCAGAAAATCTGCACAGGAAGGGAGGCCTGCCTGTTGCTATGATTGCACTCGATGTCCAGATAATGAGATTTCCAATGTCACAGGTAAATTTCATACTCATTGTGCAATTCCCTACATCTCCACAGTTTTCAGTAATATCTAAGCAGATGAAATGTTTCTGTGAAGGAAAAAAAGCGTTCTTTTATGTAGAAGCGAAACTATATTGGTTCATTTTATCATCATTTAATTAATTCTTTGTCCATTGAAATTCATACTTTATTTATGTTGTTGATCCACTATAGCTATTGGTCCTTTCATAGAACAATTTACATATCAGAAAATATTCTGTTTTATTTCTCCCTGGCATTTTGTATACACACACACACAGAGAGAGAGAGAGAGAGAGAGAGAGAGAGAGAGAGAGAGAGAGAGAGAGAGAGAGAGAGAGAGAGAAATTAAGAGAGAATTACTGACTTGTATTTCATAGCATATTTAGTTCATAGTAAGCACTCATTTATAGGTTGGATCTTTATGACTCTTAGTAGTATATTTTTAGTCATGTTTCTAACTTTATCAGAGGTGATCTGAAAGGTTGTATTTTATTTACTCATGGACATGTTTTTAAAATGTTTCATTTTACATTTTTATCAATTTGTTATATCTGTGAGTGTTTTGCATGTCTGTAGATAGGTACCCTTTAATTACATTGTGCATATAAAAGTCAGATTAGAGCAACAGATCTCCTGAAGGTTTATGACAGACATCATTGTTGACCATGCAGGGGTTGCAACTTAACCCAGGTAATCCTGACGTATAACAGGTTCCCTATTTTCCTCCATCTTTACATGAGTACCAGAAATATCATAGCTATGTAACTTCCAAGGAGAGGGATATCCTTAGATCACATAGGTATGAGAAAGAAATCTGAGAAATATCACCCTTTACAACTGCCACAATCAACATAAAATACCTTGGGGTGACACTAACCAAACAATTGAAAGACCTGTATTGTGAGGACTTTAAGTCTTTAAACAAAGAAATTAAAGAAGACAGGAGAAAATGGAAAGACCTCCCATGCTCTTGGATAGGTAGGTCAACATAGTAAAACTGGCAGTCTTGTCACAATCAATCTACAGATCCAATGCAATCCCTATTAAAATTCCAGCACAATTCTTCACAGATCTTGAAAGAACAATTCTCAACTTTATATGAAAAAAAAGAATCCAAATAACCAAAACTACCCTGTTCAACAAAGCGATGTTCAGAGGCATCTCCATCCCTGACTTCAAACTCTATTATAGAGCCACTTTGGAAACAAGTATGGAGATTCCTCAGGAAAATGGGAATCAGTCTACCACAAGATCCAGAAATTCTACTTTTAGGCATATACACATAAGATGCACATTCAGACAACAGAACATCTGTTCCACTATATACATATCAGCATTATTTGTAATAGTCAGAACCTGGAAGTAACCTAGATGCCACTCAAGTGAAGAGTGGATAGAGAAAGTTGTACATTTACACAATGGTGTACTATTCAGTGGAAAAGAACAATGGAACCTAGAAATTTGCAGGCAAATGGACAGCATTAGAAGAAACTATCCTGAATGAGGTAACACAGTCACAAAAAGATAAACATGGTATGTACTCATGTATATATGAATTTGAGATATGAATCAGGGGAGTTCCAGCCTACTCTCCAACTGCCAAAGCATCTGGAAAAGAGAACCTTCATCCAGTCACTGATGGAAGCAGAGGCAGACACCCATAGCTAAACATTCAACTGAGCTCCTGGAACCCAGTGACAGAGAGAAAGGACTGATGAGCAAAGGGGTCAACACTGGGCTGGCTTAACCCACAGAAACAGATGACCTGAATAAGGAGGACCTCTTGGACCCCAGACTAGGAGGTCAACATGGGACTAATCCAGATCTCCTGAATATGGGTGTAAGTTAGGAGGCCTACGGAATCTATGGGTCCTTGGGTAGTAAGCAGATCAGTATTTATCCCTGGCATACAAATGAAAATTCGGTACCCACCCAAAATAAGGGATGCTCTCTCTTGGGTAATGACCTAGGCCCTGCCCTGAATGAACTGACAGACTCTGGAGATCCCACATGGAGGCCCTCACCCTCCCTGGGGAATGGAGTGTGGATTGGGTGGGGGGCTGGTGGGAGGGCATGGGAGGAGTGGTGGGATTGACATGAGAATCAAGCTTGTTACTAATTTAAATTAAAAAAACTTTAATTATAAAAAGATCTAAAACCTGTTTAGACCCAGAAAACATCCAATATGGTGGTCCATCAAAAAGCTATTATGGGAGTATTCCATTGAACACAAATAGTTATTTTTATTTTAATAATATCTTTTCTTAAATTTTATTTCTGAATTTAAATTTAAATTAGAAACAAGGTTGCTTCACATGTCAATCCCAGGTCTCACTCTCTTTCCCTCCCCTCCTCCCACGCTCTCCCACCAATCACCCACATAACCCTTCCTTTACCCAGGGAGGGTAAGGCCCTCCATGGGGGTGTCCATAGTCTGTCATTTCATCCAGAGCAGAACCTAGACCCTCTTCCAAGAATCCAGGGTGAGAGTGCATCTCTCATTGTGGGATGGGCACCCAAAGTTCATTTGTATGCCAGGAATTAATAACGATCTACTACCCAAGGCCCAATAGATTGCCTAGGCCTTCTCACTGACACCCACATTCAGGGGGTCTCAATTAGCCCTGTGCTAGATTCCAAGCCATCAGTCTGGGATTCAAGAGATAACCCTTGTCAGGTCAGCTGTTTGTGGGGGTTAAAACAGCCCAGTATTAACCCATTTGCTCATCAGCCCTCCCTCTCTATCACTAGGTTCCTTGAGTTTAGTTCAGTGTTTAGCTGTGGGAGTCTGCTTCTGCTTCCATCAGTCATTGGATGAAGGTTCTGTTTCCCAGACTCTCTGGCCATGGGATTGTAGACTGGCACTCCCCAAATCTATGTCTAAAATCCAAAAACGAGAGAGTACATACCATGCTTCTCTTTTTGTGACTGAGTTACCTCACTCAAGATTGTTTCTTCTAGTACCATCCATTTGCCTGCCAATCTCAGGATTCCATTGTTTTTTTGTGCTGAATAGTACTCCATTGTGTTAATGTACCACATTTTCTCTATTCACTCATCAGTTGAGGGAAATCTAGGTTGCTTCCAAGTTCTGCCTATTGCAAATAATGCTTCTATGAACATAGTAGAACTGACATCCTTGTTGTGTGAATGTGCATCTTTTGTGTATATGCCTAAGAGTGGAATTGCTGGGTCTTGTGGTAGGCTGTTTCCCATTTTTCTGAGGAATCTCCTTCCATACTGATTTCCAAAGTGGCTGAAATATTTTAAACTCAATGATTGCTATATATAATAAATTTGAATCTAGATTTGTATCTCTTCTGAGTTAGTTTGATTAATCTAAGCCAAATAGTGATAAATAGTCCTTAACTCATTGTGTTCAATGAATTTATTCTCTAAAATTAGATAATGGAAGCATTATTATACATGGAAGGGGTAAATTATGGAATAATTTTGTGATAAATATGTGAAAAGTGCACAACACTTACATTAATGACAGTGTTGTAAATGTGCCAGGCATAAGAAAACCCTTTGTTCCCCATCCTTGTTTTACTCCTTAGATATTGTCTCCAAGTTTTCTCATTCTAAATATTCTTTCTATCTGCCAGTCCTGCTAAAGCATTCTCCTTTCTAAGTATTGGACATTCAACACATGATTAGACCAATCAGGTATTTTAGACAGGAAAAGAAACACAACTATAACATAAAAGAATACTACATATCTTTGAGTCATGTAAAACATGGATCCACAGTGTAAACAAATGTAACTTACCTTCATCTAATATTTCAGAGCATTCTCATGTCAATATATATCCAAGGAATGGAAAGTAGGCCTGACACATTGAAAACAGTAAAACATTGAGTACACTTAGACATAATGTCGAATATGGAGAGAAAACCAGAGTATTCCCCAGTCTTAATGTTACTGTGTTATGAGATTCTTCATATATAATTGGAATGTTTTGAATAATGTAATGGCTTCACTGAATACTCAGATGTGTTAACATTACTTCATAAGAAGAGAAAGCTTCAAAGTTTTGGTGACATTACCTTTCCTAATTTTAAAACGTGCATATTGACACTTACTATACAATCAAAGACTTAATGTGCATATAGAGAATTTGAGTACATTGGAGCCATGACACGTTCATGTATATGTTAAATATATTCACTAGAATAGAATAGATTGATCAACATTGATCAACATTAAAGCCTGCATGGTTGAAGCATATTTTGAAAGGAGACATTTCAAAATATGTTTAGTAAGAAAAATATTAAAATATAAATACTAAGTAATTGAAAACAATGAATCCCATACTTCAAAACCTGTAGAATGACATGTGACTAGCTTTATATTACTTTCAGTTTCAAAACAACATGACTTACAAAGCCTATGCTTTTACTAAGAAATTTAAAGATTGTGATTCTGAAGCATTTATGCTTACTTTTAATCATCAGAAGTGAACATACAGAAAATAGTAGACAGTGCTGTGAGAGTGAGATGGTATTATGAAGGCATAACTGCAAGTACTAACAAATAAAATGCTGATGATGGTAATAAGAACACACAGGCAGAAGCAAAATGATAAGTTCTTTTTTCCAATGTATAATTAATGAAAATTTTAAAGAAAAATCAAATTAGAAAGTCTACTTTGCAAAATAATTGAATATTTTAATTGAATGAAAAATACAAATACATTGTTATTTATATCTTTTGAATTGAAGATGAAACTCAATAACTAAAAGTGATAATGTATCTCACAAGTATTCCATGGCTAACTACAACCAAATTAAGTGTATTATAGCTCTCTGTTGAATTGATCATTTCTCCCTGGAAATGACAAATCAATTTCACAAAGGAAGGTTTTAAAACTTACAAGACTGTAATATTTTCCACTTACACAAGCACCATTACAGAAGAAACAAACTGGTAGATTCATTCAATAAAACTATGCAAATTTGTAGATTTGGGAGTGATAATTGAGAACATTACAAGAAAAAACTGCACATTACATACCCATTGTACTGAACTCACAGGAAAAATAACAAAGTGAATCAAGAAAGAGGCGATATTATCATATTAGGATTATGTAATTTAATTCAGTAATTTATAAGTAAATAAATAGAAACAAAGTATTTCCTATTAAAATTATATTTAAGTACATTGATAAAAATAGCCTGGTTCATTTTATATCCTATAAAAAGACCAATCTGGAATGATTAATTGGAGAGCATTTGGGAATATTCTCAATTGAGCATTGTTTTACTCGAGTCTGAAACAACAAAGGAAATGTGGGAAAATGGGAGAGAGTTGGTGCTGGGAGTAGCTTTGGATAAAAGTGTAACCAGATCAGAGATTCACAATATGTTTAATTCCTGACTAGATATGGATCATTGTGTGAGGTGTCCAGAAAGTCACTATGCAAACACAGAGCAGAGCCGCTGCCTCCAGAAAACAGTGAGATTTCTGGCCTATGAAGACCCTTTGGGGATGGCACTTACCTCGTTGGCCCTGGGATTCTCTGCACTAACCCTTGTCGTTCTTGGTGCCTTTGTGAAGCACCACCACACTCCCATTGTCAAGGCAAACAATAGGAGTCTCACATACATCCTGCTCATCACTCTGACTTTCTGTTTTCTCTGTCCATTGCTCTTCATTGGCCATCCCAACACAGTCACCTGTATCCTGCAGCAGAGCACATTTGCAGTTCTGTTCACTGTGGCTCTCTCCACAATCCTGACCAAAACGGTCACTGTGGTTCTGGCTTTCAAGATCACAGTTCCAGGGAGAACGGTGAGGTGGATAATGACATCAAGGGCTCCTAACTTCATCATTCCCATCTGTACCCTTATCCAACTTGTGCTCTCTGGAATGTGGCTGAGCACCTCTCCTCCCTTTGTTGACTCAGATGCTCACACTGAACATGGATACATAATTATTATATGCAACAAGGGATCCAATATTGCTTTCCATTCTGTCCTGGGATACCTCTGCTCCATGGCACTTGGGAGCTACACTATGGCCTACATGTCCCGGAACCTGCCTGACACATTCAATGAAGCCAAGTTCATTGTTTTCAGCATGTTGGTTTTCTTCAGTGTGTGGGTCACATTCCTTCCTGTCTACCATAGCACTAAGGGGAAAACCTCAGTTGCTATGGAAATCTTCTCTATCATCTCATCCAGTGCAGGTCTCCTAGGTTGCATCTTTGTCCCCAAGTGCTATATTATTTTGTTCAGATCTCATAGGAATGTGCTTAATTATGTCAGGAAGAAAGCACATTCTAGGAAAAAACTCAATTATACAGCTCAGTCAATGATTTTCTAAATTATATAGACACATTTAAGCCTGCTTAGGACCTACACAACTGACAGAGATAAAATAGTAACTTATGTTTTTATATTTATTGGATTCATTTATTAACTAACCCATCTGTATTTCCCCATCTTTACATATTTCTTTAACTGGAAAGCTGACTTCCATAAATATTCATTGCATGTCTCAATGTTAAAGAAAATATGAAATAATGTTAAAGAAAATATGAATAAGATATGTATTCATTCTTTACCTCTTCAACATTGCATTTATAAGAACAAACATTTTCATATTTATCCATGTGTTTTTGATGACACTGATGTTTCCTGGATTACTTGTGTTAGCATTTCATGTAAGATTGCTATGAAGAAAAAAACATTTTTAAATGAATATGAATTTGACATAAAGGAATTACTATGTCAAATGATTACCTAATGAACTACATACTAGAACAGAGTGAATCACAATTTATTTCATAATAATAACACAAAGTCGGATTTCAGTAATCAAGTACTCACCCAAAAATACAATCCTATGAGGCTTCCTTTAAGTCTGTGAAGAATGTAAAATGTCCAGCTGTAAGAAGTTCTGTAGAATTTGTACTCATGTTTATCTTTGGCTATAGATATCTAATTTTTTTGTGCACTCACTCATTCACAATTCAATTTTAATAAATTGCTCTACATTCTTTCAATAGAACCTCTGTATTTTGTGACTCCTGAACATTTATTAGTACCCATTTCTGCATACTTTACATACATTTTATAAAAGATATGTAACTCTTTGGGAACTACAATTCTAAGGCTTCTTATTTCATATGTAAAATACATTTGCATAAATGCCTATTATTATTAAATTTTTTATTGGAAAGACTTTTAACTACTTTTCTCTGAGGTAATGTCTAGAAGTTGAGGTGTGATTTTTTTGTATGGAGTAGATGTATGAATAATGTTTCCATATGCCTTCCCTTAGCCTGTGTCTTATAATCAGCAAGTTGACACATTTGATGCAGTGGCTATTAATAACCAGTGATTGTTAATATTTGTTATTTTGAGTGGCAGTGTATGTATGTCTCACCTTAAGGATTTTATGGTGTGGGATTATCTATTTCCTGTGCTGTTGTTTGTACAGCTAACTTCCTTGTGTTGGAGTTTTTCTTCTAGTGCTTTCTGTATGACAGGATTGGTGAATACCTCAACTATCATTATATAGCATTCATGTAGTAACTGTTGGAACCAGATTCAAGATCCAGAACAAAGCACCAGGCTCTGCTCTATGAATCTAGACAAAGAGATGGAGGATGTAGTGTATAAGAAAGGAGGTTAAGCTCATGATGTAAAAATCAACAGAGACAGCTGATTCAAGGTCTTGAAAACTTATGATCAATAGTCAAACTGCTATGAAGAATCCATGAGACCAAACTAGGCCCTGTGTATGTGGATGACAGTTTTAAATATTGGATTATCTGAGAGGCCTCTGGTAGTAGGCACAGAATCTATTCCTGGTGAATGAGCTAGCTTATTAGAGCACATTCCCAATGGTGGAATGCCAAGTTCAGCCTAATGCAGGGAGCAGGGTATTGTCCTTCCCCAACTTAATGTACCAGACTTTGTTGACTCCTGATGGATGCCTTTACCCATTGGGAAGAGTTTATAGGGGGACAGAGATTGGAAGAGAGGAGTAGGAGGATAGTAGGAGTGGTAGGAGGGAGAACTGTACGTGGAATATAAAATTAAATTAGAATAAATTTAAAAACACATTTCTTGTAGAATATGTTGTGATCATTGTTTGTCATTGTTTGTCCTCCCTTAACCTCCTTAAATACCCACCCATGAAACCTCACAAGTTCTGTTTCTCTCTCTTTAGAAAAGAAGCAGAAAAAACCACCCACCCAAAACAAAACTAAACAAAAAAATCAAACAAAAATAAGGGAAAGGATATAGAATACTTGAAAACACACACACACACACACACACACACACATACACACACATTTACAAACATAGGATTTCAGCCTGTCACAAAATCTAATTTAATAATGGCGTAAAACTTTGAGGAGCAGCCAAGGATTATAGGATTTGAATTCATGTGTACTCCAGGAAATGGAAAATATGCTTTCAGTTTTGTGTGTCTAAATACCTGATGTTTAGCTGCCAAAGGGCCTGGGATAAAATACAATGCTACAGTTTTATTAAAGGAATAACATTTAAAAATGACACTTAGTAACATTCTGGAAGATATTATTGCCTTCTTCACCATTGAAGCTTTCTCCTGATTCAGATAAGGGCAAGTACAGAGACCCACACCCAGACATTATACTAAGAATGAAAGATCCTGGAGTTCTCACTCTAAGTGGCATGTCTCATTCAAATCCCTCCCCTCAGGCCACAGAAAGCACTGTGGGAGATGAGGCAAAATGTGTGTTGGAGGCACAGTGGAGAAAAGACAAGAGATTAAGGCCTGTAAGTCAACAGGTTAGATGCAGATATGAGCTCTCAGAGTCTGAGGAAACATGCACAGGGCTTAAAGAGGTCTATAGCAGATAGGGTTGTAGAGCTGAAAGGGGAAGTGTAAAAATTCCTCTATTCATACTAAGTAGCTATTTACCATTACTAGCCAATAAATGAATGTCTAGTTTTCTCTAATATACTCTCACTAGGAAAACACAAATATTTTAAGTATAGCCTAGAAGACTACCATTAGATTGACAACTGAAAACAAGTATAATGATGTCTTTTGAGTTTCTTTCTTGTATCATAATGTCCTTTCATGGCTTTTTTTTTTCTTCTCTTAGGTTTTACTGTATATTTTGTGTATTTATTATGGCTTCTTGTTTAGAAGTTTTATGAGATTCCTGAGTGTGAATAGGTAGCTCTCTATGCCTAAATCTGTTTCTTTTGTGCCTTTTGTCAAGTTTCTCTTGTGTGGTAATTTTGTACTACTATGATGTGTTAGTTTTGTTTCATATATTACTATATATTACTTATGAGAGACAGAATGATATTTGACCCGGGCATAAATTCAATGAAGATGAACTAGGAAAGGAAGACACTGAGGAAACTGTAATTAAATGCAAGAAAAAGATAGTATCCGTAAATAAAAAGAAAATATAAAAAAATATATGAAGCATAATTACAATACATGGTATCTAAAAAAATTATGAGCAAGCAAAATTATTCAAAAACTAAGAATTATGAGCCCCCAAACTTATAAGATATTATGACTGCATTTTTAATTTTTTCTTATTTATTGCAAATATATACTTTATGCTCTATATTCTTTATTTTGTTCTTTGGTTTTTCCAGACAGCGATTCTCTGTATTGTTTGGGAGGTTGTCCTGTAACTCACTCTACATACAAGGCTGGCCTCAAACTCACAGAAATCTGCTTGTCTCCGACTCCTTAGTGCTGGGATTAAAGGTGTGCACTACTAACACCTGTATTTCACTATATTCTTATAATGAATTTTGTTCCCTACTCCTCAAAATTTTCACTACCTTCTTGAGCACCCAAAAATCCACTCTTTTACCTTTCTTTCATGTTAGAAGCACACATACATGGAAAATAAATTAATGAATTTGTAAATAGATGAATAAACACATGAATAAAATAATTTATAGTTGGAAACAAACAAATAGAAAAATATAAATTCCCATTGATTCATATTGTGTTACCATGTACTGCTGGACATGGGGCCAGCCCATCAGTGTCTTTGTGTTCACTGTGAGACCTCACTGGAAAAACATCCTTTTTCCTCTCATTTCCTAAGCAGGCCTATGGTTTTGCAGTGATTAATAGAAGAGTTTTGTATTGTCTTCTTAATCATCTGAAGCAATAAAAAATTGGTCAAAAGGAAAGTGGAAATTGTCTTTAAATAAGATCATTCTCCTTTTTGAAATGTAATAATTACTTGGACATACAAAATAAATGAAGATATATTATGTCACTAAGAATAACTTTTGATTCTAGATAAAAAAATCTCATGAGAATGATCAACATCCATATTTATTGTACTAACAAGTACAACTGTTGTGGAGAGAGATATAAGCTACAAAAACCACATTTACACTCTCAGACATCATACTTTTAGCTAATGCACTTCATAGTGTACATTTCTCAGGTTCAAGTATTACAATAGCCTAAAAGAATCCAACATACACAACAGCTCACATAGACAATGACTATATAGACTTATTAACAAATAATTGTTCATCATTTTTATTGTTTTTTTCTCTCTTCCTTGTGTAAACAAATGGAGCAGAATGAAATGGAAGATACTCTTGCTATGATTCCTGGTACTTAAGAGATTTCATAATTATTAAAAGGAAAGTCATGGTAGGATTCAGGTGAGCTGCAGGTGGTGAGATTTGTCTATATGTACTCTTCATAGCAGAGGACAAGAATCCCGACACTAAAGGCTATAGCCTAAGGCATGTAGAACCTTCAAATGTCTGTGAATAATAACCTACTTTTCCCACATATGCTCAAACATTTCAAAATCCTACAGTCTCCTCATATTATGATAAACTCAGTGTCACAAAAGACTAAATAGCACACAGAACAGCAGTCATCAATAAAATACACCAAATTTCAGACCCACAATAGATATCTAACTGCAATATTGATATGATCTGGCCATCCTGCAAAAGCCTGCAACATCAGGTCGGCTTACTTTAACATACATTCCCTCCATGGGTGTTCAGCTCCACTTCAGGCATACGACTTTTCTCAGCAAAAGATTCTGGCTCTTCTCCCTTATAATACTCTGGAGTGGACTTAGAACATTGTCAGTTAATTAAAAAAACTTGATGAAAAGTTCATTTGCACCCCATATTTGCAACACTTTTTACTTCCTGTATCACAGAAGCTTTATTAAAAATGCTATTTTGTCCTTTCATGAACTTAAACTTGACCCTGATGTCTTTAGTCATATTTGCATTAGTCTCTTTCTGATGACCTTTGGGAATATATTTGTATTTAAACAGTTTCTAGCAGAAATACATTTAACCAGC